TTAACTGTCTGGTTATTGCAGTAACAGGCAACGGAAAATATGGCACAGAATTCCGAAGGTTCATTGAACTCACGAAAGATGACTTCCAGAAAGTAATCAAAGTATTAAGCAGCGTGGACATTTCATTGGAAACAAAAAAGACGTACTGAACTTCGTTTCATATATCTATCTTTTTATATGGCAGTTAATGCTGGACAATTTCCATCCAAATGAAGAAGAAACTCAAAATGACAGAGATGTGGTTCTACAGACGGATACTGAGAATATCAGGACTGGAAATGTGAGCAACAAGGAACTTTTAATTAAAAGGGAATCTAGAAGGTCACAATTCATCCCAAGCAAGACGATAATGCCACTAAGACGCAAGGGGTTCTGGGAGAGAAACAGAATGAAAAAAAAAATTTAGAAGGAACCGGAAACCAATTTTTTTTTTTTTTTTTACAGAGATGTTCACTCAGTACAAGGCTCGGAGCCACTCGAAGATAATGTAGAGAAGAAAATGGTTAGCTCTAAACTTGTTTAAGATTAAGGTTAACCATTATGAGATGAGATTGTAGTGATCAAGAAAATACCCTCTTGGGAGTCGGTTCCACAGAATAGCGGTTCGTGGGAAGAAGCTGCTCGAATAGAACTTACTTCTCAGAAATGGACTACGGAGGGAAACAGCGTGCTTCGCTAAAATGTGAGTGTCATGGCAGGTCATAGCCATAAAGTTTAGTACCCTACACGCAAGTCATCAATCTGCCACTGGGTAGCATGCCGCCAGCGGTAAACGCAGGTGGTCCGCTGTCGGACCGCCTCCGTGTTCATCCCAGCAAGGGTGGCTGTCACCAGAGGCGTTCCCATCGGCAGCCCGCTGGCGTTCCTATCGGTGGCCCGTCAGCGGGCCACTAGCGGCTTGCGTGTGGAATTAAAGCACGTGGCTCGTTTGGATACTTTTGATGGAAATAGCGATAGACCATTGAGAGGCTTGCGACATTTCATCTGTGAGGAAGGGTGTTGTAGGGTGTAAGATAATTTGTCACCCACAATCCTAAACACGAAACAACAGATAGACATCTACCACTGTTCAATATATTTCTACAATTTTCTGTTCTTTCTAGCTCTAAATAAATTGTCTTTTCCATATTTCTCATGAACCCTGTTCTGCCATCCATTTACCAAGCTCGTCAATTATGTTATGCGTTTTTTTTTCTCTGTCCCTTTTTTCCTTCAGTCTGTCCTGTGAGTATCAGATTTTCCAAGCCCTCCTTCCTCATTACAGGCCTCAGAAATTTTAGCTGTCTCTTTCTGATGTTAAACATCCTTTTTGTTTCCATTCTCTTCAAAACCTCGTTGTTGCATATATATTCGGTCCATGGTTTCCTCAGCATCTTTCTGTCGAAGCACATTTCTGTTGCTTCAAGTCTCTTCTTCATCTTCGAGGAAATTGTCCAGGATTCACTGTCATATAGGAGAACGGGTGTCACTTAACAGTTCAGTACTCTTTTCTTTTTTTTCTATTAAAGCTTTATTTTATGTCTCTTAATACTCTGCTTAGCTTCTGAAATGCATCTTTGGCTATTCCAATGCGCCTTTGGATTTCAGTGTTGCATTTTCCGTTCTCTATTCGAACACTTCCCATATATTTAATTATTTTTTTGCTTGGTTGATTTTGGTATCTCCGATTTGTAATTTATATTTTGGTCTCACCCTTTGGGTAAGAAACATATATTCTGTTTTCTTGCAGTTTTTGTTTAGTCTTTTCTCTCCCGCTTTCCTTTTTCTACCTTATGTAGGGGCTTTTGTAGTTTTCTTTCTGTGTTTGCTATTAACACTATGTCATCTGCATATCTTAGTTAAGATTGTATAGGCAAATTGTTTACGGCTAGAATTCTAGTTGGCTGATCAATTCGGCAACATCTTTATTAGACGAGCCAGAACGTTTTCCCCGACAAGCGCAACACTGTGGTCTATCTTTTCGCCTCGGAACAGGCTAGATGCTTGCCAACCACGCGATTACTCTCTCAGAGACGTAGTGTAACACCCCCAACTTGAAGATAGAATACATAGAGAAATTACTATCTACTATGAATATATCTGACAGCATTTTATTCCAGTGCGTAGAGAAACAGAGGAAGAAAGAAAAAAGAGGCTGTAGACTAAATAAATCGATCGATCGATCAATCGATCGGTAAACAAATAGATACAGAAGAAAATCAAAACAACAGTAAAGTATATATATACAGCCAGTAAATAAAAGTATATTCTCTCCCGACTTCGAACTGAGCAGAAGGAATGCCTGCCTAAGAGGCACTTCGGAAGGTTAAATATTATTGCATTGCATTGGGTTCTTTAACTCTGGATAGAAATCATTATTTCAAAGTCTATCGTAAATCACTGTTGTGACAGCCGCAAGGGAGAGAAGACGCTGCAACCACCATGACAGATGAACAATAGCAAGAGTTGAAAATAACTTAGATACACATTATGATATAAACAATAAATACATTGGAGGTGG